TTTGGCGGGGGGGGGGGGGGGGTTTCTTTCCCAGGAATGGTTGCCGGGTTGACCCCCTTGCCCGTATTGGGGGCCGGCCCCCCCCCCCCCTTTTTTTTCCCCTCCCTCTCTCTCTCTCTCTCTCTCTCTCTCTCTCTCTCTCTCTCTCTCTCTCTCTCTCTCTCTCTCCTCGTAGCGCCAGCCTCGGCGAGTCTTCGGCGATCTCGGCGAATCTCGGCGAATCTTGGGGTAGGCGTGCCCGTCAAGTCGTCGGCGCTGTCCGGCAACGACTCGCTCCTCTCGATCGTGCAGATGCCGCGCGGCGTGCCGGTTGCGACCGTCGCGATCCACAACGCCGCCAACGCCGGCCTCCTCGCCGTCCGGACGCTCGGTGCGGCTGAGTCGGCCCTGCGCCGTGGGAGAGAGTTCTTTTTCTTTGTCATTGCTCTCTTCTGGCGGTGGTGCCTAGGCGCGGCCGACCCGACGCTGCGCCGCAAGATGGCGGCCTACATGGAGTCGCAGGAGGCGGAGGTGCTCTGCAAGGCAGACAAGCTCGAGAAGGGCGGCTTCCGCGCCTACCTCGATGGCGCGTAGGGGCGCGGCGGGCCGCGGGCGGCAGCGGCGGACGGGAGGTAGCTACATCGGCACCGCCCCCGGTCGTTGTTGCGCGCGGCAGCTGGCGCCCGGCGGTTGGGATATGGGGGCAGGCAGCTGGGGCGGCCCGGACAAAGCGATGCTCGCGCGCGGCGGGCGTCTAGATCTCTACCGTCTTGCCGCGGGGGGGTGCGCTCTCTCTACTCTTAAGAGTTCGCCAATTACGGCTTAGTTTATCACAACGACGCGGCGCCGACGCCCGACCCGCCATCGTGCATCGGTGCATCGAGGGCGCGGAGCGGGGAGCAGCGGGGCGTGAGTTTTTTCGCGTGAGAGAAACAGAAGTTTCGCGTGATCGTGGCACGAGAAGAGCGTCGGATCGTGGCAGGTAAGGACTAAGGTAAGGTAAAGCCGTAAGGGAAGGTAAACTTCTCCGCACACACAGCGCGGTGGGGTGGGGCGCAAGGGGGGGGCGGGGGGGGCAACCCTCCACGTCTAACACGACAGGAGCCCCACGGGCATTCAAAAAGTGCAAGGCCCGGTGCGCGTGGGTGAGCGGTGTGTGTGTGTGTGATCGTGGCACGAGCGAGAGGCACATAACCGCATAAGAGACTCTACTGATTAACAGACTGATATGAATCAGGGGCCAGAGGCACACGGGGTGCCGCACAGGCACCACAAGCATTGAAAAGCACACGTCTGCAGAAGCGCAAGCGGCCGTGCCCATGGCGGGACGGCCATCTCCGCTCGTGTAGCGGGGCGTGCGCTCGTCGCCAAAAGCTGAGCTGAGGGTATCACATTGGTCCCAGGGTCGGTATCTCTGTTACCTTGCCTTGACTCACTGCCCCGGCGCCCACGCCTCGACCTTCTTGGGCAGCAGCTGGTTCGACAGGTCCTCTCCGTGGCCTAGGCAGCCGTGAGAGCCGTCGCCCCAGGTAAAGGTGTCGCCGTTGGCGGTGACGGCGAGGCTGTGGCCGCCTCCTGCCGACACAGCGACGACCCGCTGGCCAGCCAAGGCATCGACCTTCCTGGGCTGCCGTTGTGCCTGCTCATCTCCGTGGCCCAGCTGGCCTCGGTATCCATAGCCCCAGCTCCACACGGCGCCGTCGGCGGTGATGGCGAGGTTGTGGTTGGCTGCTGCCGACACAGCGATGACGCGGTAGCCAGCAAAGGCCTCGATCTTCTTGGGCAGTAGCTGCTTCTGCTGGTCGCCGTGGCCCAACCGGCCATCGCCTCCCCAGCCCCAGCTCCAGGCGCTGCCGTCAGCAGTGACAGCGAGGCTGTGGTACTGCCCAGCCGACAGAGCGACGGCGCGCTGGCCAGCAAAGGCCTCGACCTTCTTGGGCAGCAGCTGATGCTGCTCGTCGCCGTGGCCCAGCTCGCCAAAGTCACCACTGCCCCAGCTCCAGACGGCGCCATCGGCGGTGATGGCGAGGCTGTGCTCCCCTCCCACCGACACAGCGACGACGCGCTGGCCAGCAAAGGCCTCGACCTTCTTCGGCAGCAGCTGGTCCTGCCGATTGGCGTGGCCCAGCTTGCCGTAGTCTCCATCGCCCCAGCTCCAGACGCTGCCGTCAGCAGTGATGGCGACGTTGTGGAAGCCTGCAGCCGACACAGCGACGACGCGCTGCCCAGCAAAGGCCTCGATCTTCTTCGGCTGCCACTGATCGTCGCCATGGCCCAGCTCGCCCCAGCGTCCCTGGCCCCAGCTCCAAATGGCGCCGCTGCCGGTGAGGGCGAGGCTGTGTGTGCTTGCTGCCGACACGCTCACGGCACGCTCGCCTCCCAGCGGCGACGGGAGGCGGGTCAGCGTGTTGAGCCGCGCCACGCCCTCGCCGTGGCCAAGGACGCCTGCGACGTGCTCCTCCGAGCCGCACGACGAGAGCCGCCCCTCGCCGTCGATGAAGAGGCTGTGGAAGAAGCCTGCCGCCGCCCTCGCCGGCGGGTTGGACTCGCACAGCAACGCAGCGAAGCACAGCCACCGCACGGGGCAGCCCTCGCCCTCTGGCTGCGCCGGCAGCTCGAAGCCGCGCTCTTGCGCCCACAAGCGGATGGCCTCCGCCGCGAGCGAGGCGTGGAAGAGCAGCGAGACGGCCGCGACGCGAGCGATGTCGAGGGGGCTGTCGCAGCGAGAGAGGGCGCGCTCGAGGAGGTCCGTGGGTAGGTCGAGGAGGCGGGCGGGCGGCGGCGTGTCCGGCGAGGGGGCGGCCGGCGGGCGGATTTTTTCGAAAAAGTCGCCCAGCTTCTCTCACACGCACACAACATGACGTGTAGGCAAATGATCGGAGTGGGAGTCAGAAATGTGGTCCTTGCGCGAGGGGAGCTTGATAGACTCGAGGGGCCAGGATACGCCGCGAGGAGGACGGAGTTGCGCAAGGCGAAAGAAGCCGCGAGAACAAGGGACCGGCAGGCGGCGGCGTCGCAGGACGAGGCAGAAGAGAACGACGCGACAGAGGAGGAAGTGACAAGGGAGAGACCGACGAGAGTGGGACGGCCGCGAGGTGGCATGAAGGTTGCAGCGAGAAGCGGCGAGAGACTGCGAAAAGAGATACGAAGAGGCAGACTCCCCAGGGTGGGCGACGGCTAGCGCACCACACTCCTCTCCTTAAAATCCCTGTGTGGTGGCGGCGTGCCGTTCTCCCATCCCTCCCTTGGGTTCTGTGTTTTCTTTCTTTCTTTGAGCCGCACGACAGGCAAGGCGCAGACGACGGCGAGAAAAGAAGTTCAGGCGAAACTTTCACGAGAAAAAGAACTCAGATGGGTTTTCTTCTTTCTTCTGTGATGCAGTTGGTCGCCTAACTGCGCGCTCGCAGCAAGCCCACCGTGGTGGTGTAGGTGTGCACAAACGTCCGCGCGCCCACCGGCCCGATCTCGCCGCCGGCAAAGAAGCCCGCCTACCGCCGGGCGGGCCGATGGCGCGTGTGGCCGAGGTGCAGCCGAGATCTCGCCGGACGGGTGGCGCGTGGTCCGCCAGCGCGAGCGACCCCATCGACTGCTGGAGCACCGCGCTCTCCACGCCCTCCTCGCCGTAGAGAGCGGCGCCCCGCCCAACACACGGCACCTGACCAAAACCAGCAACGGAGCGGTTGGGCGCCTCCCGCTGAGGCGAGTCATCGACCTCTGACTACCGCACGGCGCCTACTCAGTCGACGCTGTCAACCCCTTCGCACCGGTTCCGTGTTGACCATCCCCCGCTCTGGGCGGCGGGGCACCATCAGACCACCAGCCGGCGCCGCGCCGCCGCCGGTCGCGGCGGCGAGGGCGGCGGCGCTCGCGCGCAACTCTTGCCGCGCCTAGGAGAGTAGGGGTGGGCCGTGATAGACGGGTGCGGGGGCGGGGGCTGCTCACACCTCCCGCCGTTTGCGTGGTCTGCGGAGAAAGCGTGCAGCTGCAGCCGCGCGTCGGGCGCCTGTGCCGCCGGGCCGAGATCGAGCCGAGATCTGGCCAAACTCTGGCCGAGTCCTCGCCGAGGCGAGGCCAAGAGTAGCCGAGGTGAGGTCGATCGAGATGCAGCCGGGATGAGGTCTGCAGCCGAGATGGGATGGTGCCGAGGTCTAGCAGAGATCTAGCGGGCCAGCGCCGCGCGCCTCGAGCAGTTCCGGGTTGGTGCCGACGGCGAGCGCCTGTTCACAGCCGGCGCCGTGAAGAGAGCGAGGCGAGCTCTGGCGCTGATGCCGTCCCGTGGTGAGTGGCGCTATATATCTCGGCTGCGTCTCGGCTGCCATCTCGACGCACCTCAACCAGCATGCTACCACCTCGGCTCTCTCTCGGCTACCTCTCGAGCGCCGACTCGCGCCGTGAGTACCCCAGCACGGCCCTCACGACGTATGGTGACGCGGGGGCGCCCGCCGACGCAGCAGCGCCTGCCGGCAACGCGGCCGCCGGTCGCACTGGCACGCTGACCCCCGCCTACCATCCCATCGGATTCGATGACACCGGGTGACAAGGGGGCAGTGAGCCAGGCACGCTGGCGCCCGCCATGAGGTCTCCTTTCGCCGAAGAGAACTCCTTGAGCACCGGCTCGAGCGCCGCGGTCACCTACCGCCCCGTGGAGCGCTAGAACGCTGTGTGTGTGTGTGTGTGTGTGTGTGTGTGTGTCTGTCTGTGTGTCTGTCTGTCTGTCTGTCTGTGTGTGTGTGTGTGTGTGTGTGTGTGTGTGTGTGTGCGTGCGTGTGCGTTGGAGCGTGTGTGTGTGTGTGTGTGTGTGTGTGTGTGTGTGTGTGTGTGTGTGAGCGTTCGTCTGTGTGTTCTGGAAGGCACCTCCATTCCGTCGAGGGCGCGGATGACGTTGCCATCGCTCTCGGTGATGGAGAAGCTGGGACCGACAGGCCGCGCCCCCTGGCCGGTGCCAAGAGGTGAGACGAGATTCGCTGGAGATTCGCCGAGATTTCGCCCGAGACGCCGGAGACTCCGGAGAGCTGTCTCCGAGCTCGCGTCGAGATTTCGCTGACTCCGGGACTCCTCCGGGACTCCTCCGAGATTCCGCCGAGATCTCGCCGAGGCGCCTGGCACACGAGCGGCTCGAGGTCGACGCCGCAGAGCGCGAGGCCGACGCCGCCGCCGTCGTGCTCTGTCGCCCCGACGAAGAAGCGACTGTCGCCGACCGTGAGGCCTCCGACCTGTTAATTATCAATTATCAATTATTAATAATTAATTGGCAGGCTGTAGCCGACCGTGAGGCCGCCGACCTGCCATCAAGTGAGCACTTGATCGCTGAGACGTGACAGATCCGACCGTGAGGCCGTCGAGAGAGCCAAGTAGAGCCGAGATGTACCCGAGATGTACCCGCGGTGTATCGGAGTCAATTTATCCGATATACACCCGAGACAGAGATATCTCCGAGATATACACCCAAGATACCTTGGTCGCCCACGGCAGCGCCGAGTCGAGTCGGCTGAGCCACCTGGTTTAGATGCGGCCGAGGCGTAGGTCTCTGGCCGAGCTTAGCCGAGGTGAGGCCGAGATCGGTCCGAGTTGTGGCAGAGGGTCAGGCCGACAACAACATGTACATGTTGTACATGTGGCCGGAATGTCTAGGCCCGGCCACCGCTCGACGCCAAACGAGCTCGAGGACGGCGGCGCCGCGAGCAGCAGCAGGTGTGGAGACATCTCGGGCGGCGCGACAGCGTGGTCAGTCCAAAAGGCCTCTGGGAGATCGGGCAGGCCGTCCGGCGGCGAGTGCCACGGGAGCATGCTCGCGCCGCCGCTGAGTCCGGAGATGGCAAGCGCGACTGTCCGCTCCGCCTCGGGCGACGGAGAAAAGGAGTACGGCACTCCGGGCATCGACGCGGAGCCGAGCGACCGGCTGTGCTCTCCGCCGCCGCCGATGAGGCCTTGCGTCGTGACTGCTCCGACGACGCTCTCTGCAGAGTCGGCAAGAGCGACTGCGAGCTCCGCCGGCTGCGAGGACTCGGTGAGCCAGAAGACAGCATCCGCCTGGAGCGCACGCACCTTACTGGCAAGCTCCGCTGCCGCGCCGGGGCCGCAGGCCGTTAGTGAAGAGAGCCGCATATGTCCATACTGAGCATAAAGAATTTAAACAGCTCGACACAGGTGCGAACTGGCGCGTGCTAGTACTATCACAGGCACACTTTTACAAGAAAGCGGTCGCACAACACGATTATAGCAAAAAAGAACAGACAGAATCAGAATTCAACGAAAAGAACTCCCTCTCCCAACACACAGGTTCGACACAGGTACGACACAGCACCAAAAGAGGCACAGTCGCGGGGGCGCCTACACGAAGGCGTCGAGGTGGGCGAAGGGGGGAGGGCGGCAATCGCCCTCACCCTTACGACGCCCACCCCGGCACTACCCGTCAACCCACACCTCCCTCTCAAGCGCAATCGCCCTGCGCGCCGCCTCCGCTGCACGCTTGCCCGCCTTCTTCGCCCCGAGGGGCGTGGCCGTGGCAGGCGACAGAATAAGAAACGGAGTTTTAAAAGAATTATACGGTGCTGCAAGCGGCTGCGCGACTCTAACATGCGGCGGCGCGGAGTCTGTCTAGCGCAGACCAAACCTTTGCCTTTTTGCCCAGGTGGTAGGACTCTACAGGTGGAAGTCCTTGTCCACCCGGCGAGAGGGGCACTCACGGGGAAGAGACCGAACGGCCGGCCGGATTACTAGGACGTCGAGGCCCCGCACGGGGAAGAGAGTCCGAACGCCCGGCCGGGCAACTAGGTCATTGAGGCCCCGCCCCTCTCCCGGAAGACGCGCGCCGGCCCGGGTGACTCGCTTGCGAGGTAGATCCCGTTCCAGCCAGAGGCCGCGTGACCACCACGGGGATGGCTGGTCGAAGGAGGAGAGGTCATCCGGATGTGGGCGGGACGCCCCCGGGCACCTGGTTGCTCTCCTCTTCCAGAGTCCCTCCCGACGGGGACCGGTCTTGGGCCATTCCAACGGCCAGGCCGCTCGCTTAAGGCTGATTGGCTAGACGAGCGGCCTACCTCCAACGGGGCGGTCTGGATCACGGGGGATGACATCCTGCCTCCCGGCACGCCGGGAGGAGGTGGTTGCTCCGCCGCCGGACCGCCCTCTCCACCACCCTCGCCCAGGGATCTACAACGCTGTCTTAAGGTCCGACAGGTTCGGCACCGGGCACCGCCTCGGTATACAAAATGCGCCTGCGGGCGGACCCTCACAGATCACAGATCACAGATCACAGATCACAGATCACAGATCACAGATCACAGATCACAGATCACAGGTGGAAGTGTTTACCTCAGCGGAGGTGACTTTGGACGGGACGCCAAGTTTGGTTGCACGCTTGCATGGGGACGGCAGCGTTTCTTTGTCGTCCGTTCCAGACGGGACGCCGAGTTTGGTTGCACGCTTGGGGACGGCAGCGTTTGTCAGTGCCAGCACTGCCGTGGGCCGAGCGCTGGCGCGTGATGAATGCCGCGACCTCCTCGTCGCCTCGTTTTTCTTTATTTTTCCTTTCCAGCCTCTCGCAGCTCGAGAGTGTTTTTCTTCCCCTCGCGATGTCTGCCCCTCCGCGCCGCCGCTCGCGCCGCCTCGCCTCCGCCTCCGCCGCCACTCCTTCGCCAGACACGCCGCCGCCCATCCGCCTCCTCGACCTCCCCACGGACCTCCTCGTGCGCGTCTTCTCTCGCTGCGACCCCGCCGACATCGCTCGCGTCGCAGCCGTCTCGCTGCTCTTCCACGCCTCGCTTGCGCTGGAGGGCATCCGCTTGTGGGCGCAAGAGCGCGGCTTCGAGCTTCCGGCGCAGCCAGAGGGCGAGAGCTGCGCCGTGCGGTGGCTGTGCCTTTCGGCGCTGCTGTGCGAGTCCAACCCGCCGGCGAGGGCGGCGGCAGGCAATCGGCACAGCGTCTTCATCGACGGCGAGGGGCGGCTCTCGTCGTGCGGCGCGTCAGTGGAGGACGAGGAGGACGAGGAGGACGAGGAGGACCGGGAGGAGTTTCCAGGCCTTCTCGGCCACGGCGAGGGCGTGCTGCAGCTGAAGACGCCGACCCGTCTCCCGTCACTCCCCGGAGGCGAGCGCGCGGTTGGTGTGGCGGCGTCAGGACTTTTCAGCCTCGCTCTCTCCGCGAACGGCGCCCTTTGGTCCTGGGGCAGCGGCGAGGAAGGCAAGCTGGGCCACGGCGACGAGGAGGACCAGTGGCAGCCCAAGAAGATCGAGGCCTTTGCTGGGCGGCGCGTCGTCGCTGTGTCGGTGGGACAGCGCCACAGCCTCGCCCTCACTGCCGACGGTGCCGTGTGGAGCTGGGGCGATGGAGGCCTTGGCAGGCTGGGCCACGGCGACCAGCAGCACCAGCTGCTGCCCAAGCAGGTCGAGGCCGTTGCTGGCCAGCGCGTCGTCGCTATGTCGGCTGGAATCGCGCATACCCTCGCTATCACCGCCGACGGCGCCCTCTGGAGCTGGGGCTTGGGATATGATGGCCAGCTAGGCCACGGCGACCAGCAGAACCAGCTGCTGCCCAAGAAGATCGAGGCCTTTGCTGGCCAGCGCGTCGTCGCTGTCTCGGCTGGAGACGCGCACAACCTCGCCCTCACCGCCGACGGCGCGGTCTGGAGCTGGGGCGATGGCTTCTTTGGCCAGCTGGGCCACGGCGACGAGCAGCGCCAGTTGCTGCCCAAGAAGGTCGAGGCCTTGGCTGGCCAGCGTGTCGTCGCTGTATCGGCTGGAGCGTACCACAACCTCATCCTCACCACCAACGGCAGTGTCTGGAGCTGGGGCTGCGGACGCCAAGGCCAGCTGGGCCACGGTGACGAGCAGCACCAGCTGCTGCCGAAGAAGGTCGAGGCCTTGGCTGGCCAGCGCGTCGTTGCTGTGTCTACTGGGGTCTGCCACAACATCGCCACCACCGCTAATGACGCTGTCTTCACGTGGGGCGGGGGCGAGGGCGGCTGCCTAGGACACGGAGAGGACCTGTCGAAACAGCTGCTGCCCAAGAAGATCGAGGTGTGGTCGCAGGAGTGAGAGGGGGGCGAGGGGCGCGTGGCTGATAGGAGTACGACCGACTCGGGAGAGGCCAAGATCCGGATAGGGTGGGAGGGCTGGCCAAGCGTTAGACCCTAGAGCTACAGATACTGTCCGAGAGAGAGATTCTTCTTCTTTACTGTCCGTGCACGGCGTGCTGGGGGCGAAAGCAGAGATGCAAGAGAGAGAGATTTTTAGAAGCCAACAAGAAATGTATCACACACAGTGATTTGGGCTCGGCAGCTTGTCGACTACCAGCCGGAGCCGGAGTCGGAACCGTAGCCGAGATGGTCGTCGAGGGTGTCGAATATGTCATTCGCCTCGCTAGTAGAGCCGGTGCCGCATGAGTCTTGGTCGGAGGAGGAGTCGTCGGAGGAGCGGTCGGACCGCTCGCGCTTGTCGCGCCTGATGCGCTCTGCGAGGGGGCCGGGGTCGTGGTCGTCGTGCTCGAGCGTCGGGAAGACAGCGCGCCGTGCAACCTTCTCGGCCGTGCTGCCATCCCAGTAGAAGGTGTACCAGTCGCCGCGTGGATAGAACCAAGCGTTGACCAACCTGTACCGTCCGAGAGCGGCCGCCTGAGCGGCCTGAGCGGTCGCCTGAGCAGCCGCCTTTGCAGCAGCCTCCTCGGCTGCAGCCTTCCGCGCCGCCGCCTCTGCGGCCGCTGCAGCGGCCACAGCCGCAGCTTTGGCGTCGCGGGCTTTCTTGTTCTTTCTTGCCTTCTTCTTGGTGCTCTTGGGGGGGTCATCAAGTGACCGCGGGCTGGCTCGCCAGAGGTCGTGCTCTGGACGACTGGGGCAGGGCGACTCACGGGAGGAGGAGGGGGACGAGGGCGGAGGCAGGCTCAGCTGCTCTCCGGTGACAGAGGAGGTACGCTGCGACAAAAGGGTAACTACAAGCAAGCGCCACGCTTTGCGTCAGGCCGCGGGCGGCTGGGCCGCTGTGCCACGTGCGACCCCCCAGCTCTGGTGGGCGAAGGCTGGCGAAAGGCTGAGGGGTGGCCCGTCTACCGTCTACCGGTAGACCAGGTAGACGGTAGACCGTTTGGTAGACGAGTCTACCGCAGTCTACCGGTAGACCGTACCCCCAACCTACGACCCCAGTCTACCGGTAGACTTGGTAGACCGCGGTAGACGCGTCTACCCCAGATCAGCCGCCGAAAGGCAGAACCGCGCGATGGCCGCCTCGGCCACTTGAATATGCAGCCTCCAGTTCTCCACTCTGCGCCACTTTGGCAGACGAGCGCCGGCAGATGCCCTCGCGGCCTGCCGGCGAACGTCCGTCCGGCGAGAACGCGCGCCATACCGGGTGCACCCGAGCCCACCCGAGAGGTGTCCCCAAGGGTTTGCGAGCGTTTTGCTTAAAGGAAATCGAGCAATCTCAGCTCCGCGTCAGGGTTCCAACTTTTTGCGGGGTATGGTATGGTAGGGTCGCGGCCCAAAGGGTGGGGGGAGCTATGGCCCTGACCGCCCAAGACTAGCCCTCGACAGGGGTGGGGGGGTATGGTCCCTCGGCCCCTCCCTCTACTGCCGCCGCCGATGACGTGTGTGTGTGTGTGTGTGTGTGTGTGTGTGTGTGTGTGTGTGTGTGTGTGTGTGTGTGTGTGTGTGTGTGTGTGTGTGTGCTCACACTCACTCACGTATCCTCTGACTCATCGCTCTCCCCCCTCTCTCCTCCTCTGCACCTTCAGCGGCCTGCTGGAGGTCACTGTGCCCGTTCTCCACTCGGCGTCGCCTTTGTCCTTGCACCGGACTCGCTGCGACACGCGAAAGATCACCTGCTCGTTGCCCGCGCCGTCGTTTAGGTCGGAGAGGATGTCAGAAAGCGAGCCGAGGTCGTCGGGCTTGCGCGGGCAAGGTGCTCGAGGGCGCGGAGGTGTGCCGTGGCGACGTGGTTGAGAGCAGCAGGCGCCCATGCCACTTGGAGACGTCGAAACTTGGGCGACGGCGGGCGCTGTACAACTGTAGAGGGGGACAAGCTCGCCAATTCTCGCAGCGACCTTCATGCCACTGGCGTCCATCCCAGTGTGTGTGTGTGTGTGTGTGTGTGTGTGTGTGTGTGTGTGTGTGTGTGTGTGTGTGTGTGTGTGTGTGTGTGTGTGTGTGTGTGTGTGTGTGTGTGTGTGTGTGTGTGTGTGTGTGCTCACACTCACTCACGTATCCTCTGACTCATCGCTCTCCCCCCTCTCTCCTCCTCGGCCTCGTTCTGCGACACCGCCGCCGCCTGCCGATCCCTTGCTGAAAAAGAAAACTTGGACCGCACTGGTTATTTCTTTTCACGTGTGTACCTGTGGTAGTGCCAGTGCGCGCCAGTCCCGCGCCCAGTGTTGTGCGAGGGAGTTGGGTTGTGAAGTGGTAAAATTCTTTTCACCGGGGTCAACGGCGCTTGTGCACGCCGTAAACGTGGAGGGAATTTGTGGTTTTCCCCTAGCACGATGACCAGCTACTCCGTCTGGTTCCTGACGCGGCCCGGCTCCTGCCACCCCATCTCCGCCGCCAGTGGCGGCACGCAGGCGTTGAATTCCGGCTTTCAGGCCTTCCTCGCGCTCCACGGCCCGACCGAGCGGCAGAGCGAGATCTGGGGTGTGGCCGAGGAGAAGTGTGCGGCTCTGTGCATGGAGGCTCGCGCTTGCTGCCCCTCCCGCCACACGCCGTGCCGCCGCGCACTTCGCGCGCCGCGCGACAGCGCACCTCCTCCAGCCTTCCTTTGCACACGGCCGCTAAACGCCCCGGCGGTGCACTCCCGGCCGCACCTCTCTGCTCGCCGACACGCACCTGGCCCCCCGTCTGCAGTGGCCGGGCTGCACGGCGTACGAGTACAAGCTCGGTCGGTGGTTCGTGCCCCCTGGCCCCGCGCCCTTCTTTGGCCCCCAAGGGGCACGCGGCAAATGGATTGGCAAGGGCCACGCCTCCCGCTGCAGCATCTTCAACTCCGACGTCTCGTGCCGCAACCGCTAGATGGGGCAGAGCCGCGGCTGTATTCAAACCACCGCTCTCGAGGAGACGCGCAGTCAGCTGTATTCGTTCTCTTCGCAGCCCCCGCGTGCGTGCGTGCGGCGCACCCGTACTTCCACGATCGGAGCCTCAACCCCTAGGTACCACACCCTCCCCATCCCCGGCACCAACTGCTCGCTCAAGCACCCCGACCCGGCGACGCCGGTGTCGAGCGGGTATGTCAAAGGAGCGCCAAATGCAGCCGAGATGCAGCCGAGATGCAGCCGAGATGCAGCCGAGATGCAGCCGGGATGCAGCCGAGATGCAGCCGAGGTGCAGCCAGCCCTGACTATCATGAAGGCGCGACGCTGCGCCACGTCGTTTTTCATTAGTTACTTATTAATTGTTAATTATGAAGGCGCGACGCTGCGCCACGTCGTCCTGTCCGAGGCGGACCTGCTCGAGGCGCACAAGCTTGAGCTGCTTCTAATGACTAGCTTGTTTGCGCGATTGGCCTAGTGAATAGCCTACTCACACTATTCAGCTTCGTTAACAATGCTGACACTAGCTTATTGATACCGTATTCGGCACCTCTAGTAATAACATGATTGGCTAGATAGTGAAGGAGCTGCTTCTTAGACTCTGAATGAGTTTGCGGCACAGTGTGTGTGGAGTGAACTCATTGTGAAGCGCATCCCCTGGAGTGAACTGTCCTCTCAATGAACTTGCTCGAGGTGCACATAGCCCCCCTTCCAATGAGCTCTGCTTCTTAGACTCTGAAGGGTATGTGAGTGAAGCGTCCCCTGGAGTGAGCTGTCCTCGCAATGAACTTGCTCGAGGCGACCACGACGTGGCTGGAGGCGCCGTCGCACAGCGGCGAGCTGCCTGCCTTCCTCTTGACTCCACCGTCACACAGCGCGGCGCTCCTAAACAGGCGCGCGTGCTGCGCGCGCCATCACCGCGAGCAATTCGCGGCCTGCTTCCTTGATGAGGGCCACACGGCTTTCTTTTTTCTCGCCAGGCACGCGCGGCGCACGGCGACAAGCTGGCGGCGGCCAGCCCGATCGCGGTCGATTGGCTGGTGACGGCTGCGCGCGCAGAAGGCGCGAGATGCCCCGAGATTGGCCGAGATTGGCCGAGATTGGCCGAGATTGGCTGGTGACGGCTGCGCGCGCGGAAGGCTAGGGCGCCGAGATGCAGCTGAGATATACCACGGAGAGACCGCCGAGAGACCGCCGAGAGATCGCCGAGAGATCGCCGAGAGATCGCCGAGAGATCGCCGAGAGATCGCCGAGAGATCGCCGAGAGATCGCCGAGAGATCGCCGAGAGATCGCCGAGAGATCGCCGAGAGATCGCCGAGAGATCGCCGAGAGATCGCCGAGAGATCGCCGAGAGATCG